TTTTGGCGGGGGGGGGGCGTCCCCCCCCAAAGGGGGGGGGTTTTTCCGGCCCCATTTTTTTGGGGGATTGGGGGGGAGCCTTCCCCGGGGGGGGGGGGGGTTTAAAGGAGTGGTTTTTCCCCCGGGGGGGGGGGGTTGGTTTTTTTGGGGGGGGGGGGGGTTTTTTTTTATCCCCCCTTTTTTTTGGCCCCCCCCCCCCCCGGGGTTTGGGGGTTTTTTTTTTTAAAACTTTTTTGGGGGCCCCGGGGGGGTTAAATTTTAAACCCCCCCTCCCCCTTGGGGGGGCCCCCCCCCCCCCCCCCCCCCCGCCCCCTCCTCTGATAAACTTGGTTTGTAAATGTACCCTGGGTCGGTGTTGTGTTGTGTCCTAGGTGAGGGTGCAGACCACGCCGTTGCCAGAAGTAGCTGCCGTTACGGTGACGGCATCCATGTTGTATTGTGTCTTTTCCTCGTTCCGCCTTGCTTTGAGTCGTATTTAATTCGGACGGGGAGCGGGGCCGTTTAGAGCGTAATGTATTGGGGGGGTTAGGTTTCGGGAGAGCTGCACGCAGGCCCGGGGATACTTCAGCTGGAGTCGTGCTTATGCCGTCTTGTATCCATCCAGTATGTGTGTTGCTTGCTTCGGCTGGAGCATGTCTCTCTGTCGTGAAAAGGCTTTGCTTGCCGGGAACATTTTTGCCTCACCGCCGAAGGACAAGGTACATCGATCGCGCTGGCGCTGGGACGAAATTAGAGTTTATTGTCAGCGGTTTGCAGTAAGTTAGCGGGAGACTGTCCACCAGATGAGCGCTCAGAGAGCTGCCTCGGGCCTATCTCTTGGTTCGTTCAGTTGCGTGGTTTGTTGGGCAGGAAAAAGCAGGAGGATAGGTCGCCGATAGGAGTGTCGTATGACGTGATGCATGTGTCCATGAAGCAGTGCCTTCCGTGGTTGGAAGAGTTGTGTGGAAAGGGGGAAACATAGGGGGTCAGGCAGAGGGGAAGAAGAAGGCATGGCCTGCAACCAATGTCGGCGGTTTTGTGACCGGTTCTTCACGTAGCCTTCTCGCTGAGGATTCGTGAGGTTAGACATTGTGCCAAGTGATTTAGTGTTGGTTGTGGTACCCACGTTTGTTTTTTGAAGTTGGGGGTGATTGTTGTGGGTTGGCCAGGTGTAGTGGGAGGGAGCAGAGGTTTGCCGCGACGTGAGAGCCAAATTGTCTTGGGGGACGCCTCTTTGCTTTGCCTCCTGTTTTTTGCTTTGTTTCGGCTTTTATTTCGGCGCGATGGCTGTTGTTTCTGTTCTGTTTTATTTAGTCTTGTCGTCGTCTATACATATTTCAAGCCAAATGTTGTCGTGCTTGGCTAACCAAGTCGATATTTACAACCTTACATGTTCCATAAAAGCCCTTGATTTCACCCGAAAGCACGACCGTGCTGTGGCGTTCTGTAAGCGTCAGAGCTTTTGTTTAGCGTAGCCGAAAGCAAAGAAGGGAGTGTGGGAGCGAATGGCGGGGTTATTAGCAGAATGGAAGAACAACGACGCGGATGGATATCACACGAGCAACCGAGAGGTGTAGCTAGGAGCGACCCATCGACACGTACTCGGTGGTAAGCGTATTTTGACGTTGACAAAAGCCATGCTTTGGCTGTTGCGGTAATTCGTTTTTTGCATTGCCCGGGGCCCCCCTTATCGCCTTGGCTGCACAGGTGGCCCTCCCCCCCCCC